ACAGCCTCTCGTCAAAAACACCCTGTACATCGGGCAGCACCAGGGCTGTAGTGGGCGTGGTATGCGAGGGCTCGCCGTCCACACACTTCTCCTGATGTGAGATATAAAAAAATTAAAAATTAAAACATTGTGGTATTATTTGGGGGGGCACCAAGGTCAAAATTATAAATATATATTATGAATATTTTGGTTACTAGTGGCTGAACTATATCAGAGCACAATGAACAGCCACGCGAAAACTTTACGCAACAACACAACGTAACACGCCGCTCACACCCAGACCAACAATGTCAATAAAACTACAATAAGATAAGAGGCTCTGGTCACAACATGAACACAGAAGCCGCTCCTACAGCACACGACAGAACAACCAGAGCAGGTCCATCACACCAACCAGCTCATTTAACTATTAACACTATTTACCTGTGAGGCTCCATGTTCAGATTTGCCCCAAACTAATGAAAACAAGCATCTTACCTTCTCCAGAGACTGAAGCAAAGTGTTTCCTCGATCCACTGTCCCACTGGTTCTGTCTCCAAAAGTCTATTGTCCAATATGAAGAAATGAAACTGGTCCAAATCCTGGCCCAGTCAGATCCGTGACGCGAGGTCCGGGAGCCAAATGCACGAGCTGGTTGTAAAACTAAAACTTAATCCCGCTTGCTACTTAAATCTGAATGTTACACCAGTTCATATTAGCACTAGCAGTGGTAGCGACAGCCCCGGGTCCTGTGTGGAGGTTTATGCTAAAGTAGCAGCTGCCGCTAATCATGAAGCTGTTACGAGTTGACGCAGCAGGTTGACGTGATGTGAGTGACAGAACAGTTGTCCAATCACACTACACTAAATAAACAGAGACTGTGATATCATTGGTCTGGACGCTAAAGTTTGTGCCCTCAGCCCGAAATGCGTCAATCAAAATCATTTTAAAATAGCAATAATAACGGCCTGTGCTGGAGGGTGGGGCACCAGTGGACGCTAGGGCGGGCACGGCCCTCAAATGCCTCACCTTGCCGCCGACACTGTCTGCTTTCGATAGTATATTGTTTCATTACACCCCCATTACACTGCATTAAAGTATTCAGTGTGTAAATATACATGAACTGAGACCCAGAGTTTCCAATTTCATTGACGTTTAGCCTCAAACAGAGACTGATGATCTTACTGATGATATTATGCACACACACACACACACACACACACTTCATACCTGAGACTCTTCCCTGGATGTCTGACACTGTGATGGTGACTGGATTCTGTTCAGGGAGGTTGCTGTGGTCTTCTCTCTGATCCACCTGCCACTGTGCATCAGTGTTATGTGATGCCTCCCTCTCCCATATGCCTTTCCAGTACCTCTCAGTCTCCAGCCTTGGTGGGTCTGCTCTGTGTGTTATTACCCTGTCACTGAGCGTACACTTTTGGCGGTTGTTTTGTCTGGCCTCGTTATCTCGTGTGTACCTCTTTAGATGGTTGGCCAAGGCTTGGAGCCTTTGTTTGGCAGTTTTGAGTGCTCCAGGTATGGGGATTTGGCTATACCTCTTGGGTACTTGCTTTTTCATTGCACCTTTCTGGGCCTCTGACAGTTGGCTCACTTCTCTCTGTGTCTCCTTCATTTTAGCCTCTAACCGTCTTTTCCATGGTGGGTATTGTATCTCATGGCTCCCATGGTTGCTGTTGTAGCCCAGCACCTCTAGGATCACTGCTGCTGAAGTGTATGTCTGCTCATTTGTTTTCAGTGATTGTTGTGGTAGGGATCGCTCTCAGTGCTGCATTCACATCTTCTAGGAGACTTTCAGATGGTACTTCACTTAGCCTCTGTAACTGGCATCAGGGTTGCCTTGTGTTCATTCGGGCCATGATCTTATCTTTCAGGTCAGTCGCTGCCTCGCTCAGCGTGATACTTATTGGGGCTCCGTACCCAATCTCTGGTTGGGGAGTTGGTGTTAACTCCCTTCTGACCGTCCTGGCTCCCTCTTGCAGTAGCATTTGTGTTGTACCTCATCAATCTTGAGTTGTGATAGCAGTTGCAGTTTGTGGATGTTGGAACACTGAGCTACTAGTTGTTTGGCCGTTAGCTTGGACTGTGGGTATCGTAAAAAACATTTCTCTCACATCTTGTTCAAGTAACCCCTCTGACTCAGGTTACTGTAGAAGTAGCATTCCAACAGAGCCTTGTTCTCGCATCTCGCCCATTTCCTCCGTGTTCCAGTAGCCTGGCCACATCTCTAACATGTACTACTTCATTTCTTACAAGGGCCTAAGTCCCCTTTAAATAACCGTGCTCAAAATAAACTATAAACACTGAAATATGAAAATCAATCAAACTAAATCCATACAACAGAAAAGAACTGAAACAGATTCTCCCCTCCACATGGTCTGGCCCAAAACCCCCCACTAGAGACTACAAATATGGCGGACCAAGGGCACGCTCCCTCTTTTGTCTCCAGACCATGTGGAGTAACTGGTAAGTGATGATAACCAAATGAATAGATAGAACCAAATCAAATATATTTTAAAGTAACTGTTGTGTATTGTGATTAACTTAACTAAACAAAGACTAAATAAAACAAACCCGGGACAGTAATATTGAGCTGTTTACTTGAATATGGATAAACTAGAGTGACCATATTCCCGTTTATGAAAACCCGGACACCTTACTGGGGGTGGGGGGTGGGGCCTCGACATTGAGCTACTCTCACCTCGCAACCTGTGCACATGGCCTCCCACTTGTCCCGACCGGGCCGGAAAACAGGGAATTTCTTATACAAGTCATCGTTAAATGTGCATTTGTGCTTCGGCATGTTGCAGACTGACCGACTGTTTGTGTCTGCTCGCTCCTTCTGAGTCACAGACGCTACGAGAACGGCTCAGTTTAATGGACCCAATGAACAGTACTGAAAACCCGGATATTTCCGTCACTTTAAAAAAAAACTCGGACGCCCAGGACAGGACACAAAAAATGGACATGTCTGGGGAAAAACGGACATTTGGTCACCCTACGATAAACAGATGTAAAATGAAATTAAATGTGAATAAACAGGGATAAAGGCCCTGTTTGTTTGTTTGTTTGTTTGTTTGTCCCTGTTACCATACCATACCAACTTTTTATAAAGCACTTTAAAAACTTTACAGCTGGTCAACGTGCTGTACACAAACACAGAAGAGACAAGGACAATCACAGTACAACACAACACACAATACAAACACAATACAATTACTAAAAAACAGACAACAATAAGATATTCAACAACAACAAATGTACATGTCACTTGTTAAAAGCCAGTGAAAAAAGGTGTTTTTTTTTTTTTTTTTTTTTTAACTGTCTCTGCTTGTATTTGCACTGTACTGAATGAATCATTTGTGTGTTGGTTGTTCCCTGTACTTGGCCCCTGAATGTAACATGTGGCCCCTTAATGGCCCCTGTTTCAGAAAAATCCTAGAACCGCCACTTCTCTGGTAGATCGTTTCCCCGCAGGACTTCTTATGTGTCCCTGTGGTCCTGTAACCCCTCAAACTGTTTCCCACTGGTGCTTTTCAGGGTGCACACTCACCACACACACCACATGCTCCTTACCTTCTGCTGTCTCCACGCTGCTCTCTGGTTCAGGGGCCAAACTGGAGCACTTCCTGGTCGGGCCCGGGGTTCTCTGTCTCTCTCAAGTCAAAGATTAGTCCTGATTTAGTCCTGGTATAGACCTGGTGTAGTCCTGGTGTAGTCCTGGTTTAGTTCTGGTGTAGTGCTGGTTTAGTCCTGGTTTAGTCCTGGTTTAGTCCTGGTTTAGTCCTGTTTCAGTTTAGTCCTGTTTCAAGTCCTGGCTCATTAATAACAGACATAGATCATTTGGATCGGTGGAGCTGCTACAGATGCAGTTTACTGTTTTGGCTGGTTCAGTCTCTGTTTGTCCAATCACGGGTCTGAACGTTGACTGCTTAAGGCCCTGGTGACACCAACTCCAAATCTGATTGGCTGAAGCAACAGTTTCATGGACATTTATTTTGTGTTCAAGTTCCTGCAGAACAGATTATGAAGGGCTCTGACGTCTTTGACTTTGACTCTGCCTGGCAACAAGTGACGGCTGAAATGTGATTGGTCTTTAATATGAAAATACATGTGTGGGAAGCAGCAAAGCAATGAAAGGAAGAAGACAGATCATTTGGAATTATTTAATAATAATATAATTAACATCAGTCTGTGATTCAGATATTTGTTTAGGCCAGCAGAGAAGGACTTCGCAGGACCTGGACCACTGATATAAACATATGGGAGGTTATTTAAGTATTTTTTATTATGGTGGTTTACAGTTTGCTTTATGTTCATGAGTACAGTGTTAAACCTTAAAAACTCCAAGTAAAGTGAATTGATTAGGCCAGGAGGAGGGGCTAAGGGGTAAGGGGGAGCTCTTCTCGTTCTGTTGTCTGTCCTTGGTCTGACTGTGGGTGCTGGCTTACTGTGTGACTTCTGCTCTAAATACTTCTTTTTATTTTTTTTGGACTGCTTCTTCTCACTTCTGTCTGAACCTGTGACAGAAAACACTCTGTTCCACCCTGTGATGTCATGTGGAATACAGGAAGTGCTCCATTGTGTTTTTAAACTCCAGACACCTTGACTAGAATCATTTGGATACATTCAGCCCTGGAACTGTCAATCTCTACTGAACTAAAGGTAAAAGGAGCTGATAAACATGAAAACTACCATTTCATGACATCACAAGGTGAAACAGAGCATTTTGAGCTTTGGGGATGCAGACAGGCTGGACACTCAAACATGTGTGAATGAAACAATCCAAAAAGTCCACATCTGTTTATCAGGAGGTAACATTTTAACATGGTTTAAGATCACAAGAGTTAATTTAGCGTAACACAGGACTTTTAAATCAAGATATGAACATTAATAACAGACCAATCAGGTGTGTCATCACCATAGAATATTGAAGAATATTGATGTAACACTTATTACAAGAAGTAGATAAGAACAAATGAGACAAAACCACAGGAGATTAGTGAAGTGTGCACCATAACTGTTTATATGAAACATATGACATCATTGATTTGGTATCAGATTATAAACTTATATAGAATCAAGTTGGTGCATTATTTAGGGTTAAGTGGGACTTTTTTCTTAAGGATCAGCCAGACTTTGGTGACGACTGGTCCAGTGCTGATGTGAGGCAGCCCCACAAACACATCCACCTCCAGATATTTGCCGTTCCCAATGAAGACCTAAAGAAACAGAAGATTGAAGGAGGATCAGAGAGTGTCACCATTATTCAACCCCAAAGACGTGACTCTTGTCATTTGAGAGGACTTTAAATCAGGAGATTAACATGACAAGTTTGTGGAGCCACGTCCAAACAAATAATGACAAAGTTCAACATTTGTGGATCATAATTTGGAATATTTATTCTAATGTCAGTGAATCTCCCATAGAGTCATATAGAGCTGTTAAGAGATGATGTCACTTCCAAGAAACTTCACAGCTGATTTCAAGCTTTGTTTTTGTTTCTTAGTCATCAAAAATGTTTTCACATTTTTAAATGGCCAAAGTGCCTAAAAGTTTGCTTTGTAAGATTTAGTCTAGCCCCTCTCTGAGCCCACACTGGCTCCACTCTAGCAGCTCTCACTCTGATTGGTCAGAACTGGTCACACGGTGCATGTTTCTGACATCACACATCATTGTTTTCAACCAACTGATGAACCAGGAAGTGACATGACACTGAACAACTCTATAGGAGCTTAAAGTCTAATCATGACTTTGTTTGCTGGGGTAGTACCTGTGCTAATTACACATGAGGGTGATAGTTCTAATCTTTAGGATTCTTATTGTCAAAACATCATCTGAATATTGTCTTTGGGTTAATAAAAAATAAAACAATTGTAGGAACTGACCTCGATGAAGTAGTTATATCCAGTACAACTTGTTTCTTGTAGGATAAGGCTCTGAAAATCTTATAATTCTCTCCTGTGAGCTTCTCCACTTCACTCTTCACCTGAACAACAGCACAAGATTCACTCATAATACAGAAGGTCATTTTTTATGACACTTACTTGTCTCCATGGATAAGTTAGTTTACCTGAAATGTTCCACAGTATTGCATTAAACATCTATATGACACATTTTCTCTGTTATAATAATATTTCCTCATGAAAACATCCTCAGAGTTGTGTTTTCTTTTTTTTTTTTTTTACACATGTTTAACACAAATCATATTTGTGTGAATTTTTCTCAAACAGAAAACTCTGTTCCACCTTGTGATGCCTCTGATAATACAGGAAGTGCTCCACTGTGTTTTCCACAACTTCACTAGAATCATTTGGATGATTTCAGTCGTGGAATTGTCGATCTCTACTGAACTAAAAGTAAAAGGAGCTGTTCACTTGAAAACTACTACTTCATGACATCACAAGGTGGAACAGAGCATTTTGAGCTTTGGAGATGTAGACGATGAGGTAACATTATAACATGTGTAAAAACTCAAGAATCCATTTTCTGTAATACAGGACCTTTTTATAGGCCCCTCTCCACAGATCTGACCTGGTGCTTTTCTGTTTAGAAGAGTTCAATTCTTGCCTCACTACAGACACATTGTATAAGCAGCTCTTGAGGTCAAAATAATTCCACTGTGTACTGTCTGCATCCCATTATAAAGTGTTTTATTGTCAGAGAATCAGGAAGTGTGCTGTTTATTTGCCTAGTCCTTCAGGCATTATTTATAAGGCTTATAAAGTCATCATGGTGAATCATTAGGATGTTCAGAATGCATCAGGTCAGTGAGGAGTAACTTTGGACCAGTTGGTAAAGTGTTTGTCCACTGTTCTGAACATTGGGAGTTTGAATCCTGCTCTCAGGAAGCTGTCGTTGTGTCCTTGGGCAAGACACTTAACCTACCTTGCCCTCTGTGTCTATGTACACTGGTGTATGAATGTGTGAGTGGTTCTTTGATGTAAAGATCTATGAGAGCTTTGAAGGAGGAAAAGTGATGTATTATTAAACAATATAGTTCTGTTTTGGATTTGAAGACAATCAGGCACACGACTCATGAAACACACTTCAGAGTGAACCAACAGCAACAGCAAAAAAATGAAATAAATGCAACTAAAAATATATATATAATTTAAATATAATGTGAAGTAAATAAACGTACACAATATGATGTATTCTTAGTAAAATACTAACCAAACAGAGGACATGACATTAGAACACAACTTGGATGAGCTGGATGCCCTGCCACACCCAGAATAGACCAAGGCAAGGCTTTGAGAAACACAAGTTACAAGCCACATCTGTGGAGAGGTGATCCCACTCAAGATAAGAATACATGTTTTTCATTAAAAAAAAAAAAAAAAATAAAAAAAAACATAAACAAGCATTGCTCACCAGAAAAGTTCCAGAGTGTAGCTTTAAGTGTGTGATACTTACAGAGTCACAGATGGTCTGCATCTCTGCGTCTGCAGGTTGGGGATCTCCGATTTCTCCAGTTTGGTCAGACTCCATGTCTCTGATTTGTTCGCAGTATCAGGACTGTAGCTGCGTTCTGTCTGCACGCTGTTTTAAGGTGGTGGTGATCGATCAGTGGGGGCGTATCGACAGTGCACACCTTTTATCTGTAAGTCAGGTATCACATTTCAAGACTATTATAAAATGTCAAACTCTTGCCAAAACTTGCCAAACTCTCAAATAATGTCATATTGGTAAAGTTTCAAAGGTGTGGTTTGGAATTGGAAACCTCATAACTTTTCAAACTGTCACACTTGTTTTGTTTTGAGCATTAGCTGTTTGTTTACTGATAATGAACTTGTCACATGTCACCACTTTAGGAGTGGCTTTCTACAAGGACCTACTGTGTTTGTTCAAAGCAGACCTGCAGTCGGGAGAATGCGTTGTCTGGCCAGGTTTCTGTTTTTTTTGTTGGCTGAAGGGTGTGTATGCAGCGGTGAGGAACAGGGAGAGATGGTCTGACTGGCCCAGGCGGGGAGGGGTATGGCTCTGTATGCACACTTGATGTTAGAATATACCTGGTCCAGAGAGTTCTCCCCTCTTGTTGGGCATTTAACATGTTGGTGGAATTTTGGCAAAACAGTTTTGAGATTTGCATTATGAACATCCCCTGCAATGATGTGAACACCGTTTGGATAGGCATGCTGATGATTGTTAATGGTGTTTAGTAGAACAGAGAGAGCTGTTTTAACATTAGCGTCCGGTGAAATATAGACTGCAGTAATAATAACAGCTGCTAGTTTTCTAGGCAGAAAGAAGAGTCTGCATCTCACCGACATGAACTGTAGGTCAGGAGAACAGTGTCTGTCCAATACAGTGCTGTTGTTACTCCAAGTTACTCCAACCTTCAGAGCCCCCCTCCTCTTGTTTTTCTCAGTCTCTGAACAGTCTCTGTTCCTGTCTCATCTGTGTAGGGTGTGTCCTGCTAGCTGCACCAAAGCGTCGGGGATTTGTACATGAAACCGTGTTTCTGTGATGATAAGAGTGCAGCTGTCTCAAATGTAGCAGTTACCAGCCAGCTGTAATTCCACATCATCTGTTTTGTGTACCATGGGTCTGGTGTTTGACAGATAGAGGCTTGGCAGAGGAGGTTTTAGGGGTTGTTTCTTTAGCTTAGACAACAAGTTAGCCCTGCAGCCCCGTTTCTGCTTCCTCTCGTGTCGCTGTCTACGTCACTTGCCAGACCCAATCACAATCCACGGAGATCCCGCTGGTCTCACTGTCTCGTCCCATATGTTGTGAAGGTGATGAAAGTCACTACAGATGATCATCTTCTATTGGAAACCGATGTCCAGTAAGTCCATACGGTTGTAGTGAATACTAAAGTCCATTTTTCGTGCAAGACGCGAAAACATACAGAAAACAACAGAAAAAAGGTGCAGAGATACAGAGAGCTGTAAGCCGCTGCGTCTTTGCGCTCCACCATTCAAATTAGGTTAGGCCTAGTGTTAGAGTTTGGGCTAGAGGTTTACACTTGTGGTAGGGGTTTACAGATGCGTGCGCTGGGCGAGGGCCATTCGAAGCTTTAATTTGTAGTTTTATTCTTGTTTTCTTATGTTTTCCTTTGTCCTAATGTTGACCTGATTTTCCTAAATTGCTGACATATTTTCACAAATGATTCCAAGGAAACTCAAGTCAGAACAGATTTCTAGATAAGTATCACTCATTATTCTGCGTAATTTGATGTTAATTTTTCTTTCCCACCATTTTTTGTCGTGGGTGTTTCACAGTTTAATGTCAGCCAAACTATAAATTTAAAAGAATTAGTTGAAGCTGAAGTTGAAATATGAGATGATTAAGTGTGGTGAAGAGGAATGGACTTTAAAAACACAGAGGAGCACTTCGGGATGACCAGCAGATAACGTGTTTCTACTGTCCACATTTTTATAGGCTAAAATATAAAATGAGAGGTAGACAAAATATAAGTTTTTGGTACTTTGTTCATTATTTTACATTTTGTTAAACATAAATTTGCTCTGAAACAATATAATAGTATAACATTTGAATAATGTGTTCAAAATGACAACACAACTCGCCTTAAATCTCCTGCACAGGCCGATATTTTCGAAAGAATCCACACAAAGTTGTATTTAAAGGCCCAGTACACTATTTTCTGATCTTTTCTAATGTAGTTTCCTCATCACAAACACACTAAATGCCTAGTTTTGCCTGTTTTGCTAAATAAACCACACAAAGGAATTTCCTGGTTTCAGTGGTTTTTTTTTTTTTTTTAAGTTTTTTAAGTTATTATCAAGTCCCTCTTTACTTCAGACTGCTAGAGTGAATCTGGAGTCAGGCTCTATGTTATGAATAGGATTTATTTGACAAGGCTCACAGCAGCAGGTACAGAGAGAGGAGCCACAAGATCCTAATGTAAGTCAGTTGGAGCCAGAGTCAGAAGGAGCCAGAAGAGCCTCCTGGAGAACTTCCTATTTGACACACGGTGGCTAGAGCGTTAGCTATGTCCACCATAGAACGTCCATATATACAGTCTATGGTTAAACCATTAGAAACACACACACCTGATACAATTCCACACTTAGCTTTCCTACAATATCTTGGCACAAAATACAGACTAATGCCACAACAAACAACAAATTTAGCAGAGCAGGTAGACGACTGCCAGTACACGCTGGGACATCTTGCCTTTCTAATTCTGCTAATAATTTGAGTAAAAACAATATATCTGTTCACATGGGAAAAGCATATGATATGTTTTTTGACCTTCGACCTTCTCCACGTCACCGCGGGGTCATTGGTGAATGACGGGTCTGCACCTTCTCGTCGGGGTCGCTCCCTGACCTCCCTTCATTTTAGCAGTGATAAATATGGCCCAGGTCTTGGGCATGAGTTACTGGGATACTGCTGTTCATGTTGGAGGCGACCGAGAGGACGAAGCTGCACCACGTCCTCTCGCCCATGTGCTCATCATAGTGAATGCAATAGGCCCTACTCCCTGTTGATTAGATTATGGACCAGTGGATGGAAGATGTGGAATGTAGAAAGCCACTCAAGTGGTGACATGTGACAAGTTCATTATCAGTAAACAAACAGCTGATGCTCAAAACAAAACAAGTGTGACAGTTTGAAAAGTAATGAGGTTTCCAATTCCAAACCACACCTTTGAAACTTTACCAATACGACATTATTTGAGAGTTTTGGAGCAAGTTTAGGCAAGAGTTTGACATTTTATAATAGTCTTGAAATGTGATACCTGACTTACAGATAAAAGGTGTGCACTGTCGATACGCCCCCACTGATCGATCACCACCACCTTAAAACAGCGTGCAGACAGAACGCAGCTACAGTCCTGATACTGCGAACAAATCAGAGACATGGAGTCTGACAAAAAGTGTGGAGGCATCGAAGGTCCCCAACCTGCAGACGCAGAGATGCAGACCATCTGTGACTCTGTAAGTATCACACACTTAAAGCTACACTCTGGAACTTTTCTGCTGAGCAATGTTTTTTTTTTTTTTTTTTTTTTTTTTTTTTTTTTATGAAAAACATGTATTCTTATCTTGAGTGGGATCACCTCTCCACAGATGTGGCTTGTAACTTGTGTTTCTCAAAGCCTTGCCTTGGTCTATTCTGGGTGTGGCAGGGCATCCAGCTCATCCAAGTTGTGTTCTAATGTCATGTCCTCTGTTTGGTTAGTATTTACTAAGAATACATCATATTGTGTACGTTTATTTACTTCACATTATATTCAAATTATGAATATATTTAGTTGCAATTATATATTATTTTTTGTTGTCCACACAAGGAGATTTTTTTTATTTTATTTTTTGCTGTTGCTGTTGGTTCACTCTGAAGTGTGTTTCATGAGTCGTGTGCTTGGATTAGAAAGAACCCACGACCAAAACTAGGCACGAAGCTTTGAGAAACACCTTTGGTCTTGGGCGTGACCCGCTCACCTCCATGGAGAAAAATACATGTAATGTCATACTGTGGAACATTCACAGTAAAGGGCGCTGTACCTGATTGTCTTCAAATCCAAAACAGAACTATATATTTTTTTATAATACATCACTTTTCCTCCTTCAAAGCTCTCAAAGTGCTTTACAACAAGGAACCACTCACCCATTCATACACCAGTGTACATAGACACTGTGGGCAAGGTGGGTTAAGTGTCTTGCCCAAGGACACAACGGCAGCTTCCTGAGAGCAGGATTCAAACTCCCAATGTTCAGAACAGTGGACAAACACTTTACCAACTGTCCAAAGTTACTCCTCACTGACCTGATGCATTCTGAACATCCTAATGATTCACCATGATGACTTTATAAGTGATTATAAATAATACCTCAAGGACTAGCAATATAACAGCACACTTCCTGATTCTCTGATAATAAAACACTTTATAATGGGATGCAGACAGTACACAGTGGAATTATTTTGACCTCAAGAGTTGCTTATACAATGTGTCTGTAGTGAGGCAAGAATTGAACTCTTCTAAACAGAAAAGCACCAGGTCAGATCTGTGGAGAGGGGCCTATAAAAAGGTTCCTGTATTACAGAAAATGGATTCTTGAGTTTTTACACATGTTATAATGTTACCTCATCGTCTACATCTCCAAAGCTCAAAATGCTCTGTTCCACCTTGTGATGTCATGAAGTAGTAGTTTTCAAGTGAACAGTCCTTTTACTTTTAGTTCAGTTAGAGATCGACAATTCCACGACTGAAATCATCCAAATGATTCTAGTGAAGTTGTGGAAAACACAGTGGAGCACTTCCTGTATTATCAGAGGCATCACAAGGTGGAACAGAGTTTTCTGTTTGAGAGAAGAATTCACACAAATATGTCTTATTTGTTGTTAAACATGTGTAAAAAAAAAAAAAAGAAAACACAACTCTGAGGATGTTTTCATGAGGAAATATTATTATAAAAGAGAAAATGTGTCATATAGATGTTTAATGCAATACTGTGGAACATTTTCAGGCAAACTAACTTATCCATGGAGACAAGCAAAGTGTCATAAAAAATGACCTTCTGTATTATGAGTGAATCTTGTGTTGTTGTTCAGGTGAAGAGTGAAGTGGAGAAGCTCACAGGAGAGAAATATGAGACTTTCAGAGCCTTATCAGACACGATAGAAGTTGTAAATGGAACCAGCTTTATCGAGGTCAGTTCCTATAATAGTTTTATTTTTTATGAACCCAAAG